AAATCGCCAACTAAAGAGGGCTGTTACAGGAACTAAAGGCTATGGAAGGCAAATGGCTGAAAAATTTATTAGATTTCAGACGGAAGACCACTTAAATACTTTTTCTTTGAATCCTTTTGTGTTAGGTGCAGCACAAAATATATCAGATAAGTTGCGGAATATGGATTTGAATGATTTAAATGTTGACCTAAATCTTTATCAGTTTTATAACCGTTTTAGAGTTGCTGATAGAACTTTTCATGCTTATCATTATGGTAAAAAATTAAAATCAGCTTCATATTATGCATATTTAATAGAATTTAATGTGATTGTGAAAATTTTGTTTATTGCACATAACCAAAGACAAATCTTGTGTATATGTCGATTGTATAAAAATGTAAGTAAGTTTCATCGTCATATGGATTCTTTTAATATTCCTATCAAAATCAAGCATGTTTTGTCAAAAATATCTCCTTATTTATTGTTGAAAAAGTGTGGATTAGCTGTTTTTGATTCAAGCAAATTTACTCACTACGCTCTTGTAAAAAAAACAAAGAAATTTTATTATAGTGTTGTTATTCAAAATAATTATGAACATGATTAGGTTTTATTTCTATTTTTTAAAGTTTGAAATTGTATTATGTTTTTTTGTATTATTATATATTTACTTTTTTTTGTATTATTATATATATATTTTTTATTAGAAGTTGTTATTTAGGATTCTGTTTGCAATCAATTAATTAATGAAACATCAAACTTAATTCATAATGGCGACAAGAGTTTGTTATTTACAATGATCTAAATCAGATTTCTTTTTGTACCATTTTGACTTTGTGTAGTGTTTCTTTTAAGAATTAAATAAATTTGTTAAGAGAAAAGAAATCATATCCACCTGTTATCGCGGATAACAGGTGGATACGATTAATATCTATTAAAGTAATTAAATATTTATTTTAGATACAATTATTAATTGTTTTTCGTCAACTGTAAATTTTCCTTTTTTTATATGTATATAAAAATAATATGTGTATATATGTGCATATATATGTGTATATATATATATATATATATATATATATATATATATATATATATATATATATATATATATATATATAATATATATATATATATATATATATATATATATATATATATATATATATGTATATATATATACACACACGAGGCTTATTTAAATTTTTTTAATTTAACTTAATTTCATATTTTCATACACTTTTTTTTTTTTTTGAAATTTTAGATTATAATAGCTTTGAAACAATGATAATGAAAGTTTTTTCATCGTTCTAAATTTATAGTAAGTTAAATATGCTTTTTTGTTATAAAATATATGTTATTATGTTGTTGAATAACATTAATATTTTTATAAATTACGTTATAGCTACAGTTATGGTCGTAAAAGATTAAGAAAAATCTTATGGGTGCAATTATTCCACTGACACCTGCGAAAATTACCAAAAGAACTGACCATCGCTGTTTATTGTATTTTTTTAAATGTTTTAGTTAAACAATCTAACACTTAATTATTTGTTATTTTTATTATTGTTTTATAAATAAGCGTCCTTATTGCTTAGCGACTAGTTAAGTTATATTATAAGGATTATATTTTCAAGAAGATTCTGTGTTTAAGTAAAAATTATTATTTTTACTTAAACTCGTATATTTCTTGAAAAACAAGCCTACTAATATATCTATGAAATCTTTAAAACTCAAATAATTAAATAAAACCCTAATAAACATGAATTTAACTAAAAAAACTATTAACTAAAACTAGAAAGTAATACTTAACCGAGAAAAAAAAACCTACTAATCCTGTTAAGTACCTACTCAGTTCCGAGTAATAACCCTAGTAATACTACTAAGTTTCCTTCTAAAAACTTGCTAATCCTACTAAGTTTCCTACTAAAACTTGTTAATCCTACTAAATTTCCTACTAAAACCTGCTAATCCTACTAAGTTCCTAGTAAGTACTCGGCGGAAACTTACTAAGTTTTAGTAGGAAACTTATTAGGAACTTAACAGGATTAGCGGGTTTTTTTTTCTCGGGTAGCAATGGTTAAGTACTGGACATCCAATACTGGCAAAGCGTTATCATCCCAGATAAATGCCAGTGCCGAACCAGTACTGGCTGCCAGTATTGCGCCAGTATTAGACAGTACTGGCGCAGTACTGCGCCTGTTGTGAATTTTCGCTTGGGTTCGGCAAGATCGTTTGTAAAAAGAATAAAGAAGAGCGGGTCGAGAACAGAACCTTGAGGAACACCACTAAGAACATCAACCCAGTCAGAGCTAGTATTGTTAATTGTAACGCGTTGCTTTATGCCTACGTTTATTCCAAATGATTTTATTTTTAACATGAGTCTGATGTGAGGTACGGAATCAAAAGCTTTAGCAAAGTCGAGGTAGATTACATCTATAAACTGGTCGATGCTAGGGACGAAATAATATCAAAAGTCTCTATTAGATTGATTACACAAGACTTATGATGAAGGAAGCCATGTTGATTTGTAGAGAGCAGATTGTTATCAATGATGTGCTTTAAGATTTTATTCTTTACAACTTTTTCAAATATTTTGCACGCAACAGAGGTAAGTGAAATAAGGCGATAGTTTTCAGGGAGTAGTTTGTCTCCTTTTTTTTATAGATCGGACTAAAATTTGCTAATTTCCAGATAGTTGGTACTATTCCAGAATTAAAAGATTCGTAGAGGATTTTTGTGAGCGGAATTGCGAAGCTTTGGCACATATCTTAAGTATTTAAGGGTGTAACCCGTCAGGTCCAAAAGATTTGTAAGGGTTTAGATTGGTAAGTTCATTAATAATGTCTGCAATGGAAAAATCCAAGTTGCTATTATAATTGCATTTAGATTTAACTTATCTTTTATTTATCAATGGAAAATTTTCGGGGCTTTCAACAGTAAACATAGATTTGAATTGAGAGTTCAGAAGTTCAAGTATATTGGGAAGAGTTTCAGTAATTTCATCTGAAGCATTTTTAGAGAACGAATTTTATCTTTAATTTTTAGTTAGTTGGTAATGTATTTGTACACCAGTTTTGGGTTGTTCTGAGATTTTGATATAATTTCTTTTTTATGTAATATTTTAGCTTTAAATATTTCCGCTTTAACGGAACATTTAAGACGATTATAATTTATTTTGAGATCTTTATTCTTCCATTTAGTTGAGCAGTTGATGTGCCAAGCCAATTTTTCTTCTCGGATTAAACTTTTAATATGTAGAGTAACCCAAGGAACCTACTATTATTTACTAAGATTCTCCAGGTAATACTAAAGTGACCCTTAGTGTTATTACCTAGTGTAGCATTAGGAGACAAATTTAAAATAGAATTATTGTTGTAGGCAAATAATAAGTCCTACATATTTTTTGGGGAACCATAGGATGTCTGGAAAGTAGGGAACGTGATGTGTTGTGTAAAGAGACTGTTTTGGTAAATGTTCCAAAATTCTCGTTAGAATTGTTTGGATTGAAAGATTTAATACAATTATTAGACGACTTCATATTCGGGAAATTAAAATCACCAACAATCAAACAGTCATCATAGGGCTTCCTAATTAAGCTATAAGCCAATTTAAAAGATTCCGCGACATAGTTTATCAGATTAGCATCATTTGGTCTATATATACACTCAATAAGTATGCGTTTATTATTAACTTTTACTGATACCTAAACTTGTTCAAGTGAACTCGTATAGAACTGATTAACTTCGTGAGAGTTAGATAAGTCAGTAATGTAGATAGCTTCACCGCCACCTCGACGTCCGTCACAGCGATCTTTTCGATATAAATTATATCCATCGATGTTAGGAACTGAGTCATTTCGAAACCATGTTTCGGAGGCAGCAATAACATGATAGTCAAACGTTCTAGCTATTGCAATTAAATCGTTCATTTTGTTATCAAGGGATGTTGCATTAGTGTAGTAACAATTAACACTATAGTTTGTTTCCAGGTTATGTACGTCTTTACCCTTGTATTTTATTTTCGTTGGTAGGAGAGTCAAGGGAGGATAGTGATTCTTAGCCTGTGGTTTTTGATTTTTGAGCTTAACAACCCCGCTGCTTCGTATACCGTATCTAGTTTTTAGATTTATATTACTATTTAATTCATTACGCTTCATTCTTTGTTGATAGTTTAGATATCACTCAGCCTCAGTCAGATCTGGGCTTATAAAGACATTTTTGTAATCGTCTGAATTTTTTAATTTTTTCGCTGCTGTAAGTAATGGGTTTCTTTCAGAAACATCTGATAGTTTGACGATAATTGGTCCTGGTTTAGAGGACATAGATTTAATACGTTTTACAAACTTTGGTTTTGCATCAGATGCGATGGTAGTTAATATGTTCTGAACCGTTTATGTATCGTCGATTTGCTTTTCTGCATTTGATAACTTAGATTCTTTAATACCATAAATAATTACATTTTTTTTCTCGCTTTTTTTTCATAATTTTTTAAAAATTTATGTATTTTTTTTTTAAGGAACAAAGTAGCAATTGTATTTAATTACAAAATAATGAATTCTTTTTATGTTTATTAAACTTTTACCAATTTATTTAAGTCAGACACCGATACTGTTAAATTCAACCGCTATAAAAATTAAACACCGGTTAATTTATGTCAGACACCGGTAAAAAAATTTAAGTATTTTTCCCAGATTGCTTCACGTCTTCCCGCCAAAACGACGTAATACTTAAATAAAAACAATCTTAGTTTGCGGGATCAAGTTTAAACCAAAAACGAAATTCTTGATGTACAATTTTTCTTATTGTGCTCTTTATGAGATTGCTCTTAATTACTTCAATAAGAAAATTTAGCGGCTAAATACTAGCTTATACTAGTTGCTTTATAAAGAGCACTATTAGGTGCTCTTTATAGACAAAATAGACTTTGGTTTACGAATTTTTATTAATTGAAATCTACAATATAGTTCAAATAATTTTAGTTTTTCTCTTTTATTTATCTAAATTAAAAATCAGCTTTTTATTTAACTAAATTTTTTTTATTTTGCATTTTATATTAGAATGGTAAATGAAGAAGAACCTTCCCACCTTGTATGCATAATAGATGTTGCTAAATCGAAGCAGAGTTTTGAAGAAATATGCCATTCCATAGATGCTGACAGTGTTTTTCTTGAAGAAGCTTGGAGTGTCTATGAAAAATTAATACAAAATATTACTTTGGAGGTTAGTTATAATTAGTATTAATTAATTGAGTTTATATCTTTTAAAATTTTTTTTTACCCATCCATTTCTTTTTTATAGGTCTTGTACTGATTCTTAATTAAAATACCTTTTAATTTGTTAGTAACCTTAGCCTTTTCTATTTTTTTAAAAATGAATATAAAGTTTCATATATGTTCACTGAAACATAATTTAGACAAGAATTATAGTAATGCCAGCCCTCAAATAATTTATTTTAAGAATGCTCAGCAATTATTTGAAGCAGGTTTTTAAACAAAAAAATTTCTTCAGAAGTTTAGAAATCCTAAATTAAGCTAACAAAAGAAGTGTTATAGAAAAAAAGGTGTCAGACAGCAATTAATTAACTCCATAGTATAAACTTTGATACCTAAGAAACTTAAGCGCCATTCAATTTGACAGAGATATCAATAATCAATAATATTTTTTAGTAAAAAAAATTAAGTGTAGGAACCAATAATTTAGAAAGTCACCTGTTCAAATTTCTATTTTTTTCATGTCACATTATTTTGAAAAGCATCTGTTTCAACATATAGAAGTACTGCTAAATTATGTTAAAATCAATATTGCATCTTCATGGCTTGGTACACGGCTTCACGGCTTCATGGTACAAGTATATAAATGATATAAATACAAAACATAGAGAAGCATTTCAAATGGATTTTGTAAATTTTAAAAGATTTTATAATATATCTAAATAAAAAAATATTAACTACCGTTAAAATAAATATTCTTAAAAAAAAAGACTTCATTAAATTAAATAAAAGTTAATTATCAAAATGCTTTTAGAGTAAAATACTTTTATTAATCAAAGACTTTACTTTTAGAGCAGGACAATTTATTTTATTCATATTTTTTAGGGAGACAGTTTGCATTGGTTAACGTGTGCTTACTACATAACTTATATAAAGACAACATTATTACCTGGGCAAGTAAAAGCTGATCGTCCTAGTTTACATTTATCAAATCTTCTTGGAAAAGTAAAACTAAGGTAAAACTGTTATTGTTTTAGTTCAGTTATTTGGAACCATTACTCTTTATCTTTTTTTTCTATTTTTATAATTTATTTATTTGATTCAGACAACAAGTAAAAAATGAAGTCCATATAAATAAACAAAAATAAATTAAAAAAAAAAAAGACTTAAAGAGTAAATTCCAATCCTCTAAGATCCTCCAAATAAAAATGATTCCAGAAACAAGCCATTTTTTAAAATTTATGTTATATAAATTACAAATTACATGCTGTTTTTATAATAAATATATCTTTTAATAGTATAATAAACCAAAAGATCCAGATCTGGCTTTCTCTGAATTATTTCTTTACAAAAGCAATACATATCTGGAAATAAAAAAGACTAATTTAATCTTTATTGAAATGATTTGTTTATTTTTTCTTTTGTTTACCATTACTACAACAAATTTTTGAGATTTTTTTTTACTTTATTTACTTTAGAAAGCATTTTAAAGATCAAATTTTTTTCTATTATTATGTATTACTTTCTACGAATAAATATATGTTTGAAAAATGTATGTTTGAACTAAGTATGAAATGGTATTGAAAAAGTTATACAAAATTTTTATTTTTCAATCGTATTTAAAATATTAAATAGAATTAAAAATTTTTTTTTTAAATTATTAAAGTCTTATTTTGATTCTCAGATAGCGTTGCTACAGCAAGTTATTGGAAAATGCTTTTTGTTGGTCTAAAGTAAATTTTTGCTGCTATTATTTTAGATTTTTTTACAAACCTAGAGGAAATACTTTTCAATAAGTTCTTGTATGTTGCTGTTACTTAAGTGCAACATGCAATGTTCAATAAGTTTCCTCTCAATCCTGGTTTGTTAATAGATGACAATAGATGAAGCTATCAAGTCTTATGATAAGGGAAATTTATATTTTAAGTCACCTATATAATTACAAATTAATTCATATCAGTGTCATCATTTTTATGACTAACTTTAGTATTTTAGTCAATGCTCGTCTTTTCCGTTTTTTGTCTCCATGTCGTTGATTTTTTTTGTTTGTTTGCGCAAGAGATCAATTATGTAAACAAATAAAAGTCAATGATTTCATGTACTAAAACTCTTAGGAATAAAACGCGCTTGAATAAGTTATCAAGTCTGTAGATTGCTAGATTTTAGATCTACAATAAAGCAGAGAAAGCAAGTTTTGACTAAAATAAAAAAGTTTTTTTTGATATTCATTTATTCTTTTGTTTTAATCAAAAAAAGTTTGCCCAAACATTTTTTTTTTATCATTCTCTTTAATATGAACACAACATGTCTCGGAGAATTGGAATCCCTTAAAGATTTAAGATTCTTTTTTTTCTAAATAGTTTTTTTTAGTTCATTCTCAATAACTTTTTTTAAAGCATTATTGAAATGTTCAAAAATGCGATAAAAAAAAAACTCATATTAGAGAATTCTATTTCATTGACTAATTTAGGAAAAATGTTTATTGGAGTGCAGCATCATTAACTGGATATGCTTGAACGCTTGTTTTCACTTTTATAAACTTTAAAGTTTTCAGTGAAAATCTTTTAGATACAAATTCAGGCAACAAAAAAAAATTATGTTATTTAATGTGAAAGATTTAAAGTATTTTATTGTCAAATGTTACAGACTGCAGTTTAAAAAAAGTTTAACCAATAAATTATAGTTTTTCATTTTTCTTATAAGGACATTCATAATTTTAATTACAATATTATTTATCAATTTTAAATAATTTATTTCATTTTTGTCTATAAAAATATTTGCTTTCTATTTAAAAAAGTTTACTTAGTAATAAAAATTATAGAAAGTATGCTTTATAAGATAAAATATCAACTTATTACTTAGGCAAATCAGATGCCTACATGTTCAATACTTCAATATAATGAAAAGTGTTGCTAATTTAATTCCATTTATTAATATAATTTTTTTTAAGCTTGTTGCAGTTCTTTCAAAAGGTGCGTAGTTTTTTGGAAATGGTGAAATATGAAATTGATATCAATCAAAAAATTGATCAACTGGAACGTAACTTTTCAGTATCATCTATCGTGTTTGAGAAATATTTAACAATATTTAAAAGCATTTATAATGAAGATTGGATAAAGTCTCTTAAAAGCCCCCAAAAGTACCTGTTTTTTGTTTCTGATTATATTTTTTACAGTGTTTTAAACTAACATAGCTTTTTATTTATAGCTCTAAGTTTGGTTATTAAGTTGTTTTTTGTTTTTTTAATGATTGGATTACTTTATCATTCTTTTCATTGAACAAAAAAATATAATTTTTGTTCTTTTTTTTCTTTATCTTTGATTTTTTTTTTCCATAAAGAAACTTCTTAAGTTGACAAGTTTTATCAACTTAATACATATCTTAAAACTTATTTTTCTTTGGTGTGTTTAAAATAGCTTGAGTTATAATTTACTGCTCAAGTTATAATTTACAGCTTCAGTTGCTGCTATTATGTATAATGTGATAATTATCATGAAAACGTGTTAATGACTATTACGACATTACTTTTAGTATCTGATGATTCTTTAAAGACTTTAAACAGTCATAAACCACTTTTAACAACAAAATTAACCAGCCCAGGAAGATCAAATCAAAGGTTCAGAAGATCATGGTTCTGGCCCATCTCCCCTAAAATGGTTTACAGGAGCAATTTAGAGCTCTCGCAAAAGTATAATTTTGGGGAGCACAGCTCCCCAAGTTGGTTTAAAGAGAGTTTTTCTCCGCTCTCGTGCTTATTTATTTCCACCGAGGCCTATATATATATATATATATATATATATATATATATATATATATATATATATATATATATATATATATATATATATATATATATAGAGAGAGAGAGAGAGAGAGAGAGAGAGAGAGAGAGAGAGAGAGAGAGAGAGAGAGAGAGATGCAAAAAAATGTGTTTTTTGCTATCATGTTTTTTTCACCCCCAAAAAATGTGATTTTTGGGGGTTTTTTAGGTTTTTTTTTTGGCTTTTACAGATCCTTTTAGTGTTTTTTGTTTACTTTTAATTTTTTAAAATGTTTCCAACTTATCTAAAATATTTCTATTTAGTTTTGTTTGAGTATTTTAGATTCTATATTAGATTATATTAAAATTAATATATTTTTATTAAAACTTGAACAGAGTTCACAAAAAAGTTAAATTAATGATTTTTTTTATTGCTAAAATGGTTAACAAACTATTTATTCTTTTTAAAATTTGAATTCAAAAATTAATAAGAAACAATTTTATTTAAAGTTTTTTTTTTTTTTTTTTTTTTAATCTAAAACTCATCTACAGAAGTATCTTGAATAGAAAACTCTGATTCTTGGTCAAGTAACTCAAATTCTTGTTCAGGTGACTCTTTATCTGAAACTATTGGTTTGTGAGATTTATCTGAAATATTTATTGGTCCTTTAGGCAGAATTGGTTGTTGTGTTGCACACATATCCATTCTTCAAGTTTCAAATTTTATATTACACCTTTTATGTGAGAGTTTTTAATTTCCTTTACAATATCTGTTGCTTGTGACATTTTTATAAAATCATTAAAAAAAAAATTGAGACCATGAGATGTACATCCATATACATCCATATTTAGAAGAGGATAGCTGTTTTTTAATAGTTTCCATCCTTTTTCATGTTTGCTGCATTATCTGTTACTATTCCTATAACTTTTTTAGGATTAATTTCTTCTATTACCCTCTGTTTTTCATCTGCTATGTATTCACCGGAATGACTTGATGAACCTGAAAATTATTATTTACATGTAAATACTTTACAAAATATTCAGTTATAAAATTAAAAAAAGATTGATTTTGATTATGAAGAACTAAGTTAAGAGTTGGGTGAGAGTTACAAACAATTTTTTGAGAAAAATGTATTAATTATTTATTCTTAAAAATAAATATACATTTATGTAAGCTTTACGTAAAGGTAGTGATTTCCATAAAATAGGCAATGATAAAGGCAATGTCAACACAAAGTTGATAACTGCTTTATTTTTTGCAAAATGTCAAAAGTTTTGAAGTTTTAGTTTTTAAATTATTTGCATAAATAATACATTAATATTTTTGCTTAAATTTATAAAACTAATACTTGCCTAATATTACTGCATTCATCACACGTAAGTCCTACAAAGTTATTGTAATTAATTCTTTAACATTGCTCCATATTCTATTGAATTCATTATCCAAAAGTGTGTTTGATACTTCATACCTTGATGGGAGCTGATAAGCTGGGCGAAGCTATTTAAAAAGATTTTCCAGTATTTATTTTCAAAAATAAAAACAAATCAAAAAATTATTACCTAAAAAATAGCACACATTGAATTTTATTTTACATTACAAATTTTGTTTGTTTTGTTATAATGATTGATTTTATTAAAAAAAAAATTAAAACACATTAATTATTAATTTATTATTAAAAATGTTTTTATTATTAAAAAAAAACTTTTATGGATACTATTAATTTGTTTGCTTGAATAAGTGTTTAAAGCAATATAGCTCTTGCTATGTCTTTGTTTATATTTTTATATTTTATTTTGCAAAAAATAATATTTTATAGTTACATCAGCTTTATATAATTAACAGATTGTGCGATATATCAGAATAGTGAAAACAGAAATTTTTTTATAATTTACAAAGGTTTGATTAAAAAAGTTATTTAAATTTTGAAAAAATAGTTTTTATTTCCCTCAATTTTTCTTTTTCCTTTTTTATTTTTTTCAAAAAATTAGATTTAAATACAAAAAAGTGTGTTCAAAGCATTTCTTTTCTATATTTGGAATCAAAAAAGTTCAAAAAATTAAATTCAAATTGCAAATTTCCAAGTTCAAAAAATTAAATTCAAATACAAAAAAGTGTGTTCAAAGCATTTCTTTTCTATAAAATTTCTTTCGGAATCAAAAAAAAAAAGATTAGAAACAATAAAAAGAAGTCTATCAACTACAGGTACATTGTTTATATTATAGGAATTTTATAAACAAGCATAATAGTAATGATAGTTGAAAAAGACATAGCTGTTTAAAAATAATATTTCAAAATATAATTTTACAACATGAATTTATAAATAAATTTATAAATTTAACACTATAATTTTAGGTGGGGCACTAATAGATATCCGATAAAAACATCCTACAAGACCACATAAAATTACAGATGCTGTACGTAATAAATTACTAAACCATATTTCATCATTCAGAGGAAGGCAGTCTCACTATTCCCCAAAACTAGACGTATTTATTTACCGGAAGAACTAAATATAAATAAAATGTTTAACATGTTTATGATTCTTCACCCAAATGTAAAAATTTGTTATAAATCCTATAGCACATTTAACAGCAAGTTTAATATTGCATTTGGTTATCTTCGAACAGATGCATTTTCAAAGTACAAACGAACTGAAAATAAGAATTGATGTTTCTTCAAAAGATATCTCAGCTAATCCTGAAACACAAAATTTGAAAATCAATGTTCAAAAACTTGAGTTTGAAAGAGATTTGCACTAAAAAAACCCTGAAACTTTTTATAGAAGAAAATGAGAATCAAGGTAAAAAGCGTTGAGAGAGCAAAGTTTTGAAGCTAAACTTGAAAAATACTGATTGAATACTTTTGACTATCAAAAAAATTTAAATGTGCCTAACAACTCTAGCAATGATTTTTATTATAAAAGAAAATCGTCATTTTTTTCCTTTAGGATTATTTGTTAGCTAGAAAAGATGTTTTTATCTATTGTTATGATGAAACTGTTGCCAAAAAAGATGAAGTAAAAGTTAATGCTGTATGATTTTTTTATTCATCATCCATGTCCTTTAGTAAAAAACATAGATTTATTCTCTGATTCTTGTGCTGGTCAAAACAAAAATTATACCCTCTTATAGTTTATTATACTCTTATAGTTTATTATTACATAGTTCAATATCAAAAAAGATTTAACTCTGTTAAAGTTACCTTTCCTGAAAGAGGTCACCACTACTTGGAGTGTGACAAAGATATGGGTCTCATTAACTGCAAAACTCCTTCTCGTGTACTTGAACCGAAACAGGATATGTTCAAAAATGTGACTTATTTCTTAAATCCTCACTGCAAAGCTAGGTGTCCTGCAGTTACAAGACTACTTCAATAAGTACTTTTTTCTGTTAACTCTCCTGGAAATGTCTTATAGAGACTCTTGGAATGGTGTATATTTAAACATTTATTGGTAGAAATCTAGGAAGTAAAAAAAAACTGTTATTACTAGAAAACCCTTCAAACTTGTATACTGAGAGATTATGTATATCAATGGATAAATTTGAAGATCTCTAGGTACTTAAAAAGTTTACAAACCAACCTGGTTTTTTTGATTCACTGCCATATGATAATAACAAAGATGACCAGAATAATTTTATATAAATATAAAGTTTTTTTTACTGAAAAGTTATCTTGTTTGAAAAAAATATATTGTTTTCTGTTTATTTTATAGTGTTTTTAAATTAGCTGATGTTTAAAATGATAGAAATATAAAAGGTCAGAGAACCCAGTATAGTACCACTACAGCCTACAATTATACCTGGTTCTTTATTCCAGAAACTATGATTTATTTCTAAGCCAAGTGCTAAGTGAGAAATTTTTTTGGTAAATGTTACATGGTGAACTAAAAGACAAATTTGTGCATTTGGTACCTGTGATATTAGGCATGTGGTAACACATACCATGTGGTATTATGCATGAAGTAACACAGTGCATTAGATTTTCGATTTCTATAACTTACTTTAAGATAATTTAAAATTTTATTTTTAGGTGATCCCAGGAATAACTGAAATTCTAAATTTATTAAATGAGGATTCAAACATTATTGAACTTAGTTTACCTGTAATGAGTTTATACTAAACTTAAAAATAGCAGAATTTGATTTAATATTGATCCAATTTACATTTTACATATTTACATATTTTTTCAAAAAGTCTGCATGGCTTGTCAGCTTCTACATTATTTAAACTTGAAACATACACTTGGCATTAAAAAAAATTATTTTTATTATGATATTCTCATTAAATATAAATTAGAAATAAAGATTTTACAACGTATTTTCAATAGCAGAGTGTTTTGCAATGGAAAAAAAAGCATAGTTTTGACCCTACCTTGAATATTGATTGATAAAACTTTTTTTTTTTTTTTTCAAACAATAGATATTTATTCAAAATACGTTAATAAAACATACTATTGTGAATTTAATTTTGAAAAAGTTTCTTTGTGATCAAATAGTTATTAAAAAAAGGTTTTGAAACTTAAAAATCAAATATCTCTGAACTAATAAAATGTGACTGCTGTTTTTTCCCCTCTACTCTGAAAAATGTGACTGCTGTTTTTTCCCCTCTACTCTTCAACTTAAAGCACAACATCGAAAAATATTCATAAAGTTTAAGTTTTTTTATCATAATGTTTAAGTTTTTTGTCTTTAACCTTAAAACAAAAAAGATACGCTTTTACTTGCCTTAAGTTAAGGCAAGTGAACGCGCAACTATATATTTTTCAATAAATGGTACTAGTAAACTTCAATCTTTACACTGGTAGAGTAATTAACATGAACTTTTTTCTTTGCAACAAGTATTTTTTTTTTGCTTGTTAATAACTTTTTAAAAGTAAAAAATCATAAAACGATGATAAAAAGTGTAATATTAAATTTAATTATTTAAAATTTAAAAAATTGAAACAAAATAGGCATTCCACAATATGTACATTTACAAAATAACACTTCTAGATTTGTTTTTTTGTAATTAGTAAAATAAAACTTGTTTTGCGGTAATTTATTTTATTAGGTAGTTTAAAAAAGTTATTGTTCTAAAATTAAAAAAAAAAACAATAAAGTTAATTTTATGTCAAAATCAGGAAGAGCTAATATGCTTAGCTGTTTTATATTTAAAACAAGGCCTCTCTCTCTCCTTCTCTTTCTCTCTCTCTCTCTCTCTCTCTCTCTCTCTCTCTATATATATATATATATATATATATATATATATATATATATATATATATATATATATATATATATATATATATATATATATATATACACACACAACCCTCAGAATTAGGGTTGGCATTGGGCAATGCTGAACTAAAATTGCCGACCTTGTTTCTATGTTTTATGGTAAGACCTTTGTATCAAATTTTGTTTGCCAACCTGATGCCGACCTCTGAAAGATAAAGGTCAGCAAATTATTGTCGCTCTCATTTTCCCTAATTCCAAGGGTTTTATATATACATTAATTCAAACTAATTCCAACAAAGGTTGCAAGCAACCACTATTAAGTTGGGAGTTACTAGAAAATAAAGAATAGAGTTAAAAAGCAAAGAAATGTTTGGCAAATTTGAAAATGGTAGACAGGTATGAAAAGTTGTTGGTTGTATAAGTCAGGAAAACATAAATATGTGAGAGAGCTCTAAAAGGTTGAGGTTCAGAGAAAAAAACTAGTAAAATTAAAGTATTTAGAGCATGTAGAGACAAATATAGTAAAAGGTTGAGACTTTGCTGAAGTCAAGCAAAAATGAGTTTTAGTTAATGGAACTAGAGATAATAGCTTCTTTGAGCAGTAATCATGATAGTATTTGTAGTAAAGAGAGAGCTGCAACTTAATGAGGATCAGTAAAAGACTCAAGCTTGGCAAATAGAGCAGGTCCAACTACCTTTATAATCGGTTTTTGGATTTGTCTAGAAAAGAAAAAACATAAGAACCAGCCAAAATATGACAACTGTATTCCATACAGGGGAGAATAATAGATTTTTAGAGTTACAGAATGGAATCTGGAGCAAGAAAGGAGCGAGCACGATAAAGAGAAACAATCTTAGCAGGTAACTTAGCAATACTTAGAGATAAGACAAAAATCAAGGAGTGAAGGTAAGTGATCAGGGTTGTCTGGAAAACAAGTCACAAAGTTAACTATTTTAGTAAGAGAAATGCAGAAGTTGTGGGCTTTAATCCATTCTGGGTCAAACCATTCAGTATGTTGAGCATTAAAGTCTCCAATAACAACTGTGTTGTTGTTTCATACAGTTGTTTACAAAAACAAATAAATATGCCTTAAAAATGTGTTTTACACCAAAAAATGTGTTTTATCACCTGCATGAATGGGGCTAAATATTACTTTATTATAACTGTTCATTGTATTAACATTGCATTCTTTGTGTTTTTATTTTTACTTCAAGTTATTATTTAAGTAAGAAATATGTTAAAAAATAGCAATTACAAATTAATGTACAAAAAATACAATTTTGTACTAACGCAGCCTCTCTTCAGCAGCACAAGTGGGGTGTGATGCATCAAAAATTTATTTTTTTGAAATAAGATTTTTTTTGTTTTTATATTTATATATAAGGCTTTTATCTTATTTTTTATGTAGAGGAGAACCATTAACTTCAAAAGATATACGTGATTTCTGTTGGTGTCTCTATATACAAGTCAAAGGTATTGGTTTATGTTTATCTAATACAATTTAATTATACAATGAGAAAGTGATACGTTTTTTAATAGGCAAAGTTAAAAAAGCAAAGTTTTTCAAATCAAAGTAATAAAGAAATAAAGTTAATGTTTTATTTCTTAAATATATTTATATCAGGGATGCAGAGTCACAAGAGGACTCCGGCTTTATATCTCTATTTTTTTCAGGTCTCTAGTGACCTAAAAGCTCTAAACGTGTTTGTTAATTTATAATTTACTATAAGAAAAAAATTCACGTGGTTTAATGACTTGGAACTTATTGTTTTTAAGCCTGGAGTCCTGGAGTCTAATTTTAAGCCTGGGTTCAAAAAGTGATTGTTCCTCTTACCTGAAAGTCTTTTTTTTTTTCTATCATTAGTCCATAAACCTTTTTTTATATTTAGAGCTCCTAGACACCAAAAACTATAAAGAAGTAATTTTTTGTGATTTTAAAATCTGTCCCTTTTTGGGACTCTGCATCCCTGATATATATACAGGGCTTGTGACGAATAAAATCGTCAAGCGTGTTATATCGCGCTCGTAAAATTAAAATATGTTTTCATCGAGCGTGATTATGTGCGCTCGAGATAACGTCGACGAGCGCGATCATGAAAATTGCTGAAGAAGATCTTTTTTTATTTGTTACATCATTCTTTCGTCGACAAATGTTATAATTAGTATCACCCTCATGAATTAACACTCTTGTATATTGTCAGATCGGGATTTTTTTTTAACTATGTTATAAAAAAATATATATCAAACAAAAACGCAACTTCTTGTTGATTTAGTATTGAAGTATAATTTAGTGACTTTTTTATAATTTAGTGCCTTTTTTTGTTTCGTTGTTTTGATATATGTATTTAAAAATAGTTTTTATATTTCTTGATGTTTTTTATTCAAATTAATTTATTTCTAAAATTTCTTTTTTAAATTACGATTTTTTTATCTTAAAAACACAAGAAAGTTTGAAAATCTTTTTTTTTAAACTATTCATTATAGGTTAAATAACAGATTTTTCCCTCAACTGTTGTCAACGGTGTTTCCTCTTCTACATTTTCGAAACTGAATGCAGCTAATTTGTCACTCATATCTGGTAACTTCAGTTCTAAAGCCTCTTGAACTTTTCATTTAATAAATGTTGACAACATTACTTTGTTTCCTTTTGGAATGTCATTGATTGCGGACATTCTAAACAACAGAATCGTTTTAAATTTGAGTTAAAATAAATAATAGTTAATAAAAAACTTATACTATAAACAAAAACTAATTTAAAAAATTACTGAATCATTATTATTTATTTTTATTATAAACAATGTATGGAATATTACAAACAATAAATCAAATAAATCTTACTTGATGTTTTCACAAGATTAAAAATATTCTGCAGTTTCAATTTTCTTATAATGATATACTAATTTTTTATTATTTTATTTGTGCATTTTTGTATTTGCATTGAATTTCTACATGCACATTCCATCAACTACTTCAACAGTTTGAAGTAGTTAATAGGCACTAATTTCATTAGTGCCTATTAACTACATTAACAAGTAGTTAATAGGCATTAATGAAATTAGTGCCTATTAACTACTTCAAACTGCTCATTCATTAGGTTAGTGCAAAAAGAACGACGTAGTGCTTTTTTTATTTTATATTATATTAGTGCTTCGATAATATAAAATCTTTATTAAAAAATCTTTTTTTCATATTTTATGAGAATAAAAAAAAAGTTATTATTTGTTTTTCCCCGAACTCTTTCGAGTTCGGGGAAAAACAATATTTTATACGCTCGTTATAAGCTGAACAAGCAATGTTTATCGCACCTGGAACGTTTCAAAATACCATTTACGGGCGCGTTTTACAAGCGGAGAGCGATCGCGCTCGATTCATCACAAGCCCTGTATATATATATATATATATATATATATATATATATATATATATATATATATATATATATATATATATATATATATATATATATATATATATATATATATATATATATATATATATATATATATATATATATATATATATATATGTACCTATTAGTGCTCGCACATATCGTCGTGAGAGTGCTCGATGAATTAAAGTAAATTAAAATTATTTAAATTAAAACAGAGCTGTATTTACATATATTACAAAGTTTCATGCTAAATGCAATCATCAGGTGTAAATATGTTTTTGAATCGTGAAAAAATAATAAATCTGTACAAAAGAAAATGAGTTAGAAAAATGTAATCTTTAGGTTTGTGGTTGTCCACCAAAAACTTGTTCTCATGGCGACATTTAGATATTAGTTAGTTTTTTTTGTTTAATAATTCTTTAGGATTTTTATACAATAAAATAATTAGTTTTTTCTTATAAACATAACAGGCATTTTTTGGTTATGTTGTTGTAGGCGGGGGCGTATTTTATGATGAACCATTTTAAATTGGGTGTTGTATTTGATTTATTTTGTGTATCCCATAAATATTTTGAAAGCGTTATTATAAAGAATGACATATAGAACATAAAATCAAATCCTAATATCTTAATATTTGCAGACAAAACTAGCAATATTTATGAACTACCTTCTAAAGACCACGTTAAACTTCTTAAAGAAAATATCACTAAGTCATATAAAAAAGCACCATTAAAACTTGAAAGTGTAATAAACCTTGAAGCAAAAAGTATAGCAAAAACAATAAATATATCTAACAAATTTTATGGTCCTTCAGCGTTCATCACTCTGAAAGACCATAAAATCAATTTTTAAAACATAAAACCCTGCCGCCTAATTAATCCAGCTAAGAGCAAACTTGGCATTGTAAGCAATATAATACCTATTTAGATAAGATTAATAACCTATTTAGATAAGATTAAAAATACTGCTGAACTCATCAAATGGTTCAAAAATATAAAAGAAAAGAAACACTGCACTTTTATACAACTCAACATCAGTGAATTTTACCCATCTCTCACACCCACAGTTCTAAAAAATGCTCTAACGTTTGTAAAACAACTTATAAAAATTAGCCAAAAAGAAATCAGAACAATTATCCATTGCAGAAAGTCATTGTTATTTTTCAACAACAAAACTTGGAAAAAAAAGTCAACTAACGACTGCTTCAATATCACAATGGGTTGTTATGATGGAGCCGAGGTTTGCAAGCTGGTTGGTCTGTTTATATTATATTCATTATCTGAAACTGTTACCAACAGCGATATGGGCCTTTACTGTGACAACGGACCGATAATATTGCGTCAGAAATCTGCCGCACAGATAGATAAAATCCAAAAAAATATAATAATTTAAAAAAAAATTGGCTTCCAAATAGAAATAATGACAAACCAAACAATTGCTAACAACTTAGACATTACGTTTAACCTTGAAAAAGACTCATATCATCCTTTCAAAAAACCAAATAGAAACCTACTTTACATCCATACTGAGTCCAACCACCCTCCACAAATTATTAAACAAATTTCGATTGCTATCAACAATAGGTTATCCCAGAATTCTTCTGACGAAAAAAGATTTAACTCAGCAATGGCAGAATACGACGAAGCCCTAAAAAGAAATGGGTTTAAAGATTTTAGCTTCAAATACAACCCTAAAAATGATACCAAAATAACCCCCAAACGTAAAAGAAAAAAAAAAAAAAATCTGGTTTAACCCACCATACATTAAAAACGTTCTCACAAGTATTGACAAAACCTTCTTACAATTAATCGACAAACACTTTCCAAAACCAAATCCGCTTCATAAATTATTCAACTGTAATACAACTTAAGTCAGCTACAGTTGTACAAGCAACATAGCAAAAATTATAAAGAACCACAACAATAAAATTATTTCGATGAACCCAATGGCCACTTTAGCTTGCAATTGTAAACTAAGCAAAATCTGCCCTATGAATGAAATTGCAGAAAAACAAATGTAATTTATAAGTGCATTGCATCTTTCCCAAACACAACAGACAAAACATACATTTGTTCAACAGCAGGCATGTGGAAAACTAGATGGGCAAATCACAAGCAATCCTTCAAAAATAAAAAACTCATAAACGCAACCACCCTTTCAAATTATTTATGGGATACACAAAATAAATCAAAAATAACACTCAATTTAAAATGGTCAATAATAAAATAGGCTCCGCCTACAACAACATAACCAAAAAGTGCCTATAATGCTTATACAAAAAACTAGTTATTTTATTGTATAAAAATCCTAAAGAATTATTAAACAAAAAAAAAAAACTAATATCTAAATGTCGCCATGAAAACAAGCATTTGCTGTACAACCACAAACCAAAAGATTAGATTTTTTAATTCATTTTCTTTTGTACAGATTTATTATTTTTTCACGAGAAAAAAACATATTTACGTCTGATGATTGCATTTAGCATGAAACTCATAGTTGTGAAAAATATGTAGTTTTATTTATAAAAATTATATGTATATATACAGGCCTTCTCATAAGAGGCCTGCAATCGGAAGCTTTATATGACCACGCATATAGTTCTTTGTTTTAACAACTTGACCATGGCTCTTTGCAAGTTTCGATAATTAGCGCATTTAAAAAATGCGCTAAAAGAAAATAAATGCGATTTTTAATTTAATTGATTCCATAATTACAATTAAACTGTCACAAAATTTCCTGAGTACTTAAATGCAACTTAATAAAAGCAATCGTTGAAAAAAATATACAGATTAGAGTTTCAGTCATAATGAGTAAATAAAAAAATAATTACAAAACTATTTATCATGGAACTATAATTTCTAATAAAGAAATTATTTACTATAAAAAAAGAATTACAATAATCTAGAAACAGTCGCATTTGCCAACTATTTTTTATCCCAGGGCGTGACGTACCGTTTTTTTTAATGAATGTTGACTTGCGTATCTTTATTTATTGACGAACGTCTAATTTAAGAGATTTATGTCAAATAAATTTCAAATAATTTTTATTCTAATTAATAAGTTATCAAATATATCAAAGATGCTTGGTAAATTTATTTAATTGTAATTTTTCAAAAACTTTTATTTTACACATTTGCAAAGCGCGCGCAAATTAATGATAATAACAATAAAAAAAACTTTTAAAAGTGTTTTTAATATGGAAACAAACATTTCAGTTTATGGAAAATTAGAAAATTAAAAAAAAAAACATGCACAATTTTATTTATAATGAAATCATATGCTTTAAACTTTTTATTTAAATGCTTTAAACAGAAAAGAAACCAAGTTTAAACATTATGATCGCTTTCTTCAATAAAAGAAAGCAATAAAATTGTTTATGGACGGTTTCTTTTGAAGTTTTTGCAAAACCATCTATTTTAACTAAAACTATGTTACTTTTGTGAGCGCATGCAAAAACCATGCTAAAACATAACTTTTTATTTTACTTAAAAGTGAGGCTATTGAAAAAAGTAACTATGTTTTGGCATTTTTTAAAAAAAGTCTCTGTAATTAATTGTTTTTCATTTTAAATGTGTTTTTTGTAAGAATAGAAAAGAAAAAATATTGGTCGCAAAAATATTTTGAAAAAATTGCTGAAGTAACGCGTTTGTTTTGAAAAATCTTAATCAAACAGCAATGTTTGCTTAAGCAAAATTAAAGAAACGTGATGTTTGTTTTTCTGTCTGTCTTAAAGAAATGCGCACACATTTGTCGGTTTGTTGCACCCTGTATCCTATTAACTTTTTAATAAAATTTTAAGTTTGCACCACAAAATTTTATTAAACTTCATGACCCTTTCCCTTACTATGGATCCACCCTTTTATTAGCCTATTTATTCATGGGTAGGAATGATAAAGATTATTATTATTATTATTGTGATTTTTTAACTTTTGCCTCCAATTAAGTTTAAATTAATTAATACATGTTTGGATTTTTTTATTGTTTTTCCCTAATTTATTTTATAATTCTTTAAATATTTTATTTTTTTAGGTTAATTTTTGTTATATATATTATTTTAAGGATTTTATTCTCTTTTCAGTTTATGGATTGTTTATTTTAATTTGCTTTGTATATATATATATATATATATATATATATATATATATATATATATATATATATATATATATATATATATATATATATATATATATATATATATATATATATGTATGTATATATATATGTATATATATATATATATATATATATATATATATATATATATATATATATAATATATATATATATATATATATATAATTATATTTTATTTAGATTAATAAAAACAACTGATTAGCAGTACTTAAAGTTTCATGCCCGAAGACAATCATTAGTCGTTAATACAAACAAAAAAACAAACCGTTACAAAAACGTAAAAATTACTGTAGAATGACTTCTGGTGTTATAAATAAATCTACGTAAAAAGTCAAATCACAAAACAAAAAACCGTTATAGTTTACTAGTTCCGTGTGTCAAATAAAGTTAATATAGATATTTTTGAATGTCGACACTGAGATATAATTTCGTTTTTTTGTATTCAGTAGGTTTTTTTCATTATGTGATAAAATAAAATATTATTCGTAGAGACAAAGATAGCATATTTTTGTTGCTAGATTGTAAGGTTTGCAACGTTTGACAATTTTCCATTCTATAATAGGCTTTATGTTTTGGTCTTTTAAGCTCAATTTCCTTAGATCTTTATTTGACACAGGGGACTAGTAAACTACAACAGCTTTTTGTTTTTAATTTGTTTTGTACGTAGATTTGTTTATAATGCCAGAAGTCAGCTACATTAATTTTTATGTTTTTATAATGGTTTGTTTACATTTTTTGTTTGTATTAAGGGCTGATTGTCTCCAAGCATGAAACTTCTGCTAATCAGTTGTTCTCAAATTTCAAATAGATTTTCAAGAAACGTTAGCTAATACTCATTTGCATTTTAAATTTAAGTTTTTCGCAACCTAAATTAGGCTGTATAAAAATTCCTTGGTGAATATCCCTTATTTCTACATCTGATCTGATGAGTATTAACATTAAATTTAAAAATACTTTGTAGCACAATATCCTGATATCAGTGATGATCTTGTTAATTCATATCATTTGCTTCTGTGCTGCATTGATTTAGTATTTGCAAACACTTTAAGTTCAAAGAAGTTAAAATCATCTATTAATAAAACATATAATGGTATGTTATTTTTACTACCTTGATTAAGTTTTTTTTTAAGTTTTTAAATATTCTAATAAATATTTCTATTAAATAGATAAAAAAAAATTGTTTAGGTTTGCCAGAAGGCTTTTTGGACAGAGATTATTCTGCTTGTGAAATTCCATCAATACTTGATAATTTGTGTAATACTCATGAAGGTTACTGTGCCATTTTTTCTGTACCTAATATTGATATTTAATTTTTCAGTTTAACGTTTTTAACTTAACTTGATTACTTAAGAAATATTATAATTGGGTATATATTTATTTTTTTGTTGATTATCTAGATTTCTATAGTTTAGTTACATAATTAGTTTTCATAGATCAATCCATTTATTTATTATTATTGTTATTGCAGATCTAACTGTCTAGTTTTTTCATTTAGGTTTAGCTATAGAAACTAAAGTTATCAAACGACAGTACCTTGGTAAATTTTTGGAAGATCTTTTAAAAGACAATGTAGGTTTATTATTAGCTAAATATGTTTGTTTTATATAAAAGTTAGATTTTTTATGAGTTTTCTGTAAACTAATTATATATATTATATCAAGAAAGAAATATAGATTTTACTTTTTTGGTCAAAAATAGTTCTTTAGGCATTTTTTTGGTTAAAATATCTAGGAAATTTTATCTACAAAGAATTAGTTGTTGTTGTTGCAGTAATATTGTATACACTTAAACACTTGTATAATACACATAAATATTTTTTTGAAGTTTTCTGGTAAATTAAAAATAGGCAGTAAATAACTTTAAGTTTGTTTGCGCTATATATATATTTTTTGAAACAGTATTTGAGTACGTAACATTTATATAATAAATATTTAATAAAAATATTGTTAAATTTTTTATTAACATGTTGCATATTTTTAAATATATTTAAGTTTAAAAATACAGACATAAAATATTAAATTATAAATATATATATATATAAATATATATATATATATATATATATATATATATATATATATATATATATATATATATATATATATATATATATATATATATATAAATATATATATATATCCAGTGTACACAAGTTCCATCTAGCTGTGCTATTGTGTATAAATGTGTTGACTTGTTTGTGCGTCCAACATGCATAACTCTGCATTTAAGACGAATAGTAGTGGACCAACGACTGAGCCCTGTGGCACACTGCTAGTCATGGGGACCCAATCAGATGTTATTCCGTCTAATACTACTCTCTGTTGCCGACTAGTTTACCAATTCTTAACCCATTTAAGCAGGGTTTCACTAATCCCATAGGCTTGCAGTTTGTGTAACAGGCGCCTGTGTGGAACTTTGTCAAATGCTTTGGCAAAGTCTGTATAAATTACATCGGCAGGAAACCCTAGGTGCCTGTTTTGTGTAAGTATGTCATGTGCTTCCAGAAGATTTGTGACACACCCTCGTTTAAGAACAAAACCATGTTGAGCTTTGGATATAAGATTATGTTTTTTGCAAAACTTAATTATACAATCATGCATGAGACTTTCCATAACTTTTTAGACTATGGATTTAAGTGATATTGGTCTGTAATTTGATGGTTGAAGTTACTTCCTTTTTTAAAAATTGTTGTAATATTAAATTTTTTCCACAAATCTGGAACATCACCCGTGGATATAGATTTCTTGTAGATTATTGTGATTGGAATTGCAAAAGATATTGCACACTTTAAGAACGCGTGGATGTATTTCGTCATAACCCATGGCCTTATTTTCAGATAACCCTTTTAGTTTTTTTTCTACTTCACGCTCATGAATGCTATCTTCATCAAACTGACATATGGTTTGTGTGTGTAAATTAAATTATGGCATAGAACCTTCTTGTTTAACTGCAAACACTGGTAATTAATTATTTAGTAATGCGCTAGTTTCGTCTTTTTTTGTAGCCGTTGAGTTCTTCATTGTTTGTAGGCTGCGAATTTGTTCATGAACTCGTTGTTTGTTGCAAATATGTAAGTGTAGGCATTTTGGGCTAGACTTAGAAGCATAAACTAAGTCATCTTCATATGAAAGTATGGCGTCTTTAACAACCTTTTTAACATTTTTGCATGCAACTTTATGTGCATTTCATAAATTTTCATGAGTATGGCGGCCTGCAGCAATCTATTTGAGCCATAACGTATGTTTTTCTTTTACTGCTGCTTTTACCTCTGATGTAACCCACTTGCATTTTTTATTTTAGGTGGAACTAAAGTTGATGGTATGTGTTCTTTAATGTATTTTTTGTATATATTAACAAGTAAAGAAAAATTATCGTTAGCTGTATGACCTTCAAACATGGTATGCCAGTTGTTTGAAGCTATTTTTGTTGATATTGCATCATAGTCGGCTCAATTCTAAATAAGACGAGGGCGTGAGAGTTTTGGTGCTATTTCTTTTAAATGAACAGCCAATATACCAGCAATAACACAGTGTGATTGACCTGCTTTTGTAAACCCCAGTGGGTCATCTTCTGAGACTTACGAACCTATCTGGATCATCACTAATAATTAGGTCAAATGTTGATGACAGTTCAACAAGATTGGAATGACGGTAGGTTGAAAAAGTTATTAACTGTGTTAAGTTATTATCTTTTAAACAAGATTGGAATCTCAAATCTCTAGGGCAATTATCTGTCCAACGGTTGTGACTTTACCATTTATTTCAATAGACTCATACCATGTGTGGTTAAAATTTAAATCTCCATACAATAACATACAGGAGCAATTGTAGGTTAACATGGCCTGTTTAGCCGCTGTAATTGATTCAATTGTTTGAGTAAGGACAATGTCATTAATGTCACAAGGTCTATATATACAACCTAGTAACAATGATTCACCATCAAATTTGATTATACACCATACTTGCTCAATAGCTTTAGAATTAAGTTGCTTATTTCTAACTTTTGTCGTAATTATATCACTTCTTGTGTATATTGCAACACCTCCTCCTCTGCTTTCTCTGTCTGCTCGATGCAGTTCATATCCTTTTACAACTGTGTCAGATGTATTATTATACCATGTTTCCCCCAGAAAAATTATATGAGGTCTTTCATGCATTGGTTTAGATGAATTTCTAGCTTTAAGTTTTCCTTTTTTTAAATTATTTAATGAACATGGGTTGTTTGCCCAGAAACATAGTTGTCCTGATATTAATGAAGACAAAGTTGATAATCTTGAAGATAACTGTGAGAGGTTGACATTTAACTTAAATTTCAATCTTATTGGGCGGATTCTTTTATTATTACTTATCAGGTGTATCTCAGGTTTTGAGGTTGTTAGGTGTGGTAGATAAAATTGTGATGGTAGCTGATGTACTGTTTCCTTCCATATTGCTACTATTGATGTTACTTCGTTGGCTTTTGAGTGCGATTGTTGGTGATTTAAAAACATACTGTTTACTTCTGGTTGATTCAATAACGTTGATGCATACAATTTTACTGGTGCGGCGATGGATGACGTTCTGAAATGGCTGATCTAGCAACCCTGCAGCTTTAAGTTCTTGATTTCGTTTGACTAATTGTGATCGCTTGGCATTAAAATTGGCCTGCTCAGCAGGAGTTCTATCTTCGTGAACAAAAGTTTTCTCATATTGCTTAATGGTATGATGTCTGCAGGTGTTTAGAACTAACTCTTTCTCTATTTTATTTGAATGAGATACTTGGATGATGCTAGAGCTAGAGTTATTTGACGTTGCTTTTAGTTTGCTTGATTTTAGTCTTCGAATATGCTTAATTTCAACATTTTCTAATCCAACAGCTCCAAAAAAATCCATCACTTGTTTACTATCCTCAACTATGTTATTTTCTAAGATTCCAATAACAAGCATCACTGAAAGTTTTAGATTCCAATTTGTTCTGGTTTTTTTCTGCTTGAATTTTCAGTTCATTTATTGTATTTTCTTTCTCACTTAATAATTTTATTGCCAATTGCATATCTTGAAATGCTGCAAATACTGCTTTGTCCTGCATAGTTAAGTTGGTGTTTCCTTGTCCAAATCCAGTAAAGTCATACTTCGAAGAAAAACTGATATCTGTTGCATCAATAAGTTTTGAATGACATTTAATTCTCTTGATTGGGTGTGTTTATTTACAGTTAAAATTAGTGAGCATATCTACTGATCTTGTTGTTTGCTTTCAGTAGACTTACCAATCAGAGCATCACCTAAAGTTTTAGATTCCAATTTGTTCTGGTTTTTTTCTGCTTGAATTTTCAGTTCATTTATTGTATTTTCTTTTTCACTTAATAATTTTATTGCCTATTGCACATCTTGAAATGCTGCAAATACTGCTTTGTCCAGCTTAGTTAAGTTGGTGTTTCCTTGTCCAAATCCAGTAAAGTTATACTTCGAAGAAAAACTGATATCTGTTGCATCAATAAGTTTTGAAGACATAGTATGCTTGATAGTGGGAGGGCTACCACCCTGAAAAACAGTGGATTGCCTACCTGATATGAAATATTTAATATTTATTATTTACTTATTAACACAAATACTGTATAAAGTTTAGATGTGTTTTTTTTTTATATATATATATAATATAATATTTTATATATATATAATATATATAATATATATATATATATATATATATATATATATATATATATATATATATAGGCTTTCCCAGGAAAGGCGTGCGGTCGCACGCCTTGTTTGTCCACGCATAAAATAAATTTTTCTGACTAACTGACCACGTTTTGTTATTATGCGTTTCAAAAATTCGCGCCAAAACAAAGCTAAACAAAAATACCGCAAAAATGCAAGCAATCTTAAAGTAAATAACAGAAATCTGTTTGTGCTTTAAAATCAAAAAATTAATGTATATTATTAAAAAAAAAATTTACCTGTATTTTATTTATTTATTTTTTTAGGGTGGTAGTTATTTTAACTATGAAAAATCAAATCAATAAGAAAAATAGAATAAAAAAAAAAAGGATATAGTTTAATGAAAATAAAAGGACCTTTTAATGTAAAATTTGTTTATGACTTTTATCAGACAGTAATACTTTAAAATTCACGATAGAACTATAAACAATTTTTAAATGTTTTGTAAATACATTTAAATGTTTAAATGTATTGATACGCAAGAAAGCGCAAAAACAATTGCTATTTATTTGTAAAATATGTTTTTATTTTATTTTTAAATAAAAGAAAATTTTATTGTCAAACAATTGAGTTTATTTTATTTTGCAATCAATAATTGACATTGTTAACAAGTGTTAATATATAATAATGTCCCGAAGGAACTGTTTTTGTAACAATGATAACAGAAGCAATGCAGTTATTTTTTTAACTTCTTTCGTAATTACAAAATTATGCAATTGAATAATTTAAACGTAATAAAAGGTGAGTATTGACTCAGTATAATCAGTTTAGAAAGTCGAGAGAACTTTTTTCACATTAAAATTTTGTTATGTTTAAAATCTCAAATAATATATTTAATAATTAAAACAGCAATTTATTTTCTTGTCT